GCGAGACGAAGTCGAGTACGGGATTACCATACGAGTCCGGTACGCACATTTTGGACGAGTTACGTACGATAGTTTACGCCATACTACTAAATCTGTACAAATCCTTATATATTTCCACCAACTAAAAGAATAAAAATCACTAGTCATGAGAGGTTATGTTTTTGTTTATAACCACTCATTGCCACCTAAATACAGTATAATCAGCTGATTGGTGTCCGGTAAAACTTATTACAGTACAGTAGTACGCAATGAAACCCCATTTGAATAAGCTGGCGGCAAACAGCTGTTTTCTGGGCTAAATACTTGCGTAGGAAGCTCGTCAAAATAATGTAGTGTGGCGTAAACATTTTTTACTACACTAGCCGGTTCAGTTAAGTTCTTAGAATTTAAAAGATTCACTTAACTGCATTGTTTTTTTTTTTAACTTTAACCTGAGGACCAATCAGGTTCAAGGATTGAGAGAAAAGAAGTAAAATCGTAATACTTCGAACGTCATCAGCTGTTATAGAGCTCCCAAATCATGAAAGCACACTTTTGACTCTTAAACTGTTCAGTACAGTACACAATGTTAGGTAAAAAGTTACACCTATTTGAGCGTCGGGTTGGAGGGGGAGGGGGGTAAAAGTTGGAAAAATGGCACTTTTTTGTTTTGGCAAATTTCTCATATAGGGAATAAGTAGTCATTACGCAGTACTCATGGTAAGACCTGGACCCCGGACCGATTTACCTTTTCGTTTTGAGGGCCCTAGAGGCCAAAAACATAATCTGTTTGAGTTCAGTTGTGTGTGTGTGTGTGTTTGTTCGTCAGCACAATAACTCGAGCAAAAATGATATGATTTTGATGAAATTTGGTACATAAGTGTAAACCTTACATTTATTCGAACGAGTTCGCGAACCAGCATGATCATGATCGGACTATAGGAATGCGGGTTTATGGGGTAAAAAATTTTTTTTCCCATTTTTTACTCTAAAAACATAAAATTTTGCAATTTCTTTATAAACCATTTTGTAGAGCTCAAAAAACAAATAATTTAATATCTTGAAGCGTTGTTATGCGCCCAATAGCAACGGAGAAAATTCTTAAAGATTGTAAATTAAAAATTCCCATGTTATTCTAATAGAGAATAAGTAAACTTAATATTTTTGTCATAAAAAAGCAGAGGATGAAAAAAAAGAAAGTATACAAAAGCTTGCGAACAACGACATGAATAATTTACTCCTCTTGTCACAAGTGTTGATGGAATTTTTGGGAAATGATTCCAAATGTTTTTAAGGGTTGTGACTGTAAAATTATCAGAAAAATGGAAAAAAAAACCATACAGTTTGGCAATTAATTGGATACGCTCAAGAACAATTTGTGCATTTTTAAGGACAACCAGTATGTGTCTGAGACGAACTAGAAAGAAATGGCGGTCAGCGAGGGAATTTGAAGATGGAGCTGGGATTCCATATTTTTTTACTGTAAAAATTAATTGTTAAATTCTGATTGTACTGTACTTTTTTTTTTAATTTCCATTGTAATAAATTATTATTTTAAAATGTTCATTAGGCTAAAAGAAAGTTAACTGTTATAATTTACTTGTTTATTAACATATTTTGATCAAATTTAGAACATGCATTTATTTCATACTTAACTATTTACATTTTACAAAAAAACACTTTTTAACCCTCTCTGTTACAGCAAACCTAAGTACTCGTTTAACTGATGCTATTTAAATAGGGAATAAATGTGCTATTTTTAAGAAGATATTTGAGTGTAAATCCAATCAGGCAAATGGAAATTTGCAGAAAGGTTTGCTGCAGTGGGGTATTTATTAAATATCTCGAAAACTATGCATGTTAGCGCAGAATACATCCTATAAAGAAATAATCTTCACAAAATTCTAAACAAGAATGGTCCTCATCATTATCTTGTTAAAGTGATAATTGTTACAGTCTTTAACGCTTTGAAAGTGCCGGAGCCGGAGGCAGCTAAATATTTAAAAAAAATAATAAAATATAGCTACAAAACTTTGAACAATGTCACTGGACACAAAAATAATTGTTATTATTTAGTGATACGCTACCTTCACCTTCTCAAGGTGGACAGCGACAGCTCGCTAGGAGTCAGAAGAAAATCTTTTAAGTAAGCATAGGTTGATATGTATATCAAATTAAAGGTAGGTTTTTGTTAGTAAAATACAATGCCGCGAACCCAAACTCAAACGGGCAACTATGAGTTAAAAATGGCAGCATAAAAAAATTTCTTGAATTTATTATTTTGAATCTTTGAACAGCTCTCATTTTTTGACTCAGTTGTCTGTTTGAGTTCAGGTTTGTGATACTGTATTCCACTAATAAAGACCTTTAATTGGATGTGCATATCAAGCCATTCAAAAATTTTTTACAAAAAATAAAACAAGATAAGGCGAGGAACAAGTAGCAACATGCAAGCAGTGGCAGTGAAGAGTCATGGGTGAGAACTGAGAGTGGGGAGGAATCTTTTGTCACGCAATTTAAAATATTTTCTGTTGCTTGCGGCCTTAGGCTCGGATCCATTTATAAAAGCGGCTTTGATCGAGCCAACAGATATTTGAGTTGGCAGCATTCTGTGACTGAAAACAAAATTTGTAATTCTGAAAAAAATTACAAACATAGTAGGAAAGATTAGTTAGGTTTAAAAAGTGCATCGGTAAAGAACATTAAACAGTGCCTTTGGTACTAAATCTAATATTTGTCCTGGTTCTTAAAGCTGTATATGACTTTTGTAAATAAAAGATTGGTCTAGATCACCCCGAGACATTGTGGTTTCGATTTGTGTAGCACTAGTGTGATATGTGATTCACCAATCTTACTGTGAAATCGTCAATATACGTGATACAATTAATTTGATATCACGGACGATTACTTAAGATTAAACTTTAAAATGACAAATTATATGTTAACAAAAACCATCTTCTTTATTTCTTTCATCGAACAACAACACGCTAAACTATTATCTTTTTTTTAACAAAACAATTGGAACATATGACTATTTTTTTATATCAATCAGATTAAGTCTTTTGGCAAACTTATAGTCAAATATCCATTGAGGTTTTTTATAAACGATTGATCATAGTACGTCAACTGATGAAATGATTACAAATTTAACATTATCATTTTATTTATGCACTGATATCAAGCTCTTAGTCTTGTTATAAGTGCCTAATAGTTGTTTTCAGTACAAGTAAAGCAACTAGTCATAGTTTGTAAGGCACAACCATTTGCAAACTATGGCAGTGTGAACATTGATACTTTATTGAGACTCGGAAACTACTTTTTTACATAGAGTGAAGAGGAATATTACTGAAATTAATTTTGTTACTTTTACCTGTTGTGTTGCTCGTGAAGGTAAAAGTCGTGAACATTAACCTTAGTGGTTGGAATTAATTAATTTTAAAAATGCATCAATCTGAATAGCGAGAAAGCTAAAGCAGAAGTAACACGAGCCAGGACCTGTCCTTTAACTATTGGCAGGACCTGTCCTGACATAGGTGAGCAACACAAAGAACCCCTGACAGTGGCGTAACTAGACTGACTGCGTAGACTCATTCTCTCCCCCCCACCCCCGTAACCTCCAACGACATTTCTCCATACTTCCACACTTCCTGGATACTCTTCACTACATACAACATTGTACAAGCTCTATCCAATTAGAAAAAGATTATCCAAAGAAATATAATTTATTATGTAGGTACAGTAATTTTAAAGTTAAATATAAAAAAAAATATTGAAAGTAAAATTAAGTTACTAAACATTTACAAACACCATTAACATAACTGAAGCATTACATACTGTACTTACAATTAATTAATGTCCTTTTAGGTTGATAAAATATATACTACTTCTTACTTTACTCAAAATTTTATATTTCTTCAATGCCCTATACAGTATGCATGATATCGCAAGCTACAATATTATTCATGTTCCGTTTCGCAAAATTCAATTAATTTCACTAGATGACACACTCTTACAGTCAAAGAGCTCTGCCTACAGCTCTTTTAGAAGTTTAAGACTTTAAGTATCAGCAATATCCCGTTTAAAAAAAAAAAAACATGTCAAACTTTGGTAGTTTTTTCACTTTTTCATCTTCTTATTTTTTCTGTTTTTGGAACTCTGCACTACTAGGTCTTTTATTTCTGCCCATTTTGTTCAGTATAAACATATCAAATCCACTAAAACGCACAAATAAACGGTGTACTAATTTCAATTGTAATAACAAATACACTGACAAAATTTGTTTTGTATTGTCATAAAACAAATAACACTACTGATTGTACAACAAGGACTGACAGGGACACGTGGTCGTGTTTACTAAAATAATACTGGACGATTTTATCTGTCTATCTTTATAGCTAATGACGATAAATAAAAATAACTAAACAAGAACAGTCAATTCTTGTGATAAGAATGGCGCAGATGTGCACCAAGGAGATCACGATAATAGTAAACAAAAGTCACCAACATTCTGTTGTGACTGTAACTGAATAAAGTACCACGGATATATTTTTTACATTTATTTTTGGTAAGCTACAGGGAGTTTTGCTTCAACATATTTTTGTGAAAAAGATTTTCCAGAATATAAGGCCTGCACCCCAACGCACCACATTGGTTGCATTGGCGTTAGTTACGCCACTGACGCCTGATACATTTGGATTCACACAGAACTAGTGGTATTACAAACCAATCTACAGATTTTAACCCAGTTGTTGAATGCTCAAGTTAGTCAATGTAGACAATCCTCAGAACTGTTGTAAACTTGATGTACATTTTTCATGGAGGATTTAAATAAATTCAGTTTTTAAAATAAAGTCTTTTAATTCTCTATAGCACAGCTAAATCAAAAATATTATTTTTGGCTATGTTAAAATTGTTTTTTAACGTACTTTCACTTTTAATATTTACAATCCAGTACTTTCATTTACACATTCCTGAGTTCCACAAGTTGAGATTGGGGATTGGGTTATGATACAAGTTCAGCGATAAAGTAAAACATTTACTGACAAAATGTACACAACGCACACTGAATGAACCTGTACACAGACAGAAAACATCCTTTGTACCATTGTAACATAATATGCAGAAAACCACGCAGGTAACAAAATTGTACGGTACTAATAATCATCCATATCGGCCATAGCAAACAGCTGTTGGGAGGGTCGGCCACCCCTTCTGTCCGAGATGAAATACACTCGTGTATCATTGCCACCCACATCTGTCTGCGTACTCCTGGTTTGTGTGTCTGCGTAGCGCAGTGGTTGTGTGAAGATTGACCTAGGTAGGTTCAGTTGCTGTTCCATCAATAGAGCCTCTAGCTGCATGTTGTACTTCTTGTTCTCCAAACACTCCAACTGTAGCTCTTGCATCCTCTGCCGCTTAGTCTTTTCGTCCATTTGTGAAAGGAAGGAATTTTTCGAAGGTGCGTAGACTTCTGAAAGATCAGCCAATAAAAATGTTTATCCAACCACATAGAGCAATTAGAGGACACTTTCTGCACTAACTCTATTCTGGAGACTACCGACCTAAAGTTGATGTTTCAATTTTTCAAAAGACAGTATCGTTGCTGGCCCCTTTACCCTTCCTTATTCACAAAGCCAACTTTTTAGATGCATAGAAAAAATATCATCTCTTATGGAAGCACCTTTAATTTATCTCTCTCTCTCTCTGTGGCCCATCACAACAACAACAATCTAGTTTATTGTTGAGTTAAAAGTAGCATAAATGTACCTAGAATAGAACATTAATGTTTGCATCTAAAAAGAATCATTGAGAACATAAATGTTTGGATTATAGTTTAGTCTGTAGAGAAGGTCAGTTATGTCACACTTAATTTACGTTTGATGTAAGGGAGCCATATTGTTTCATTAAATTAACACTTAGGCCTTCATATATTGTTTGGTAACAAAATGTATTCTTACAGACTGACAGTTAAGCTATACAGTATGCGCTGCATAAAGTGCATAAAAACTGAATGAAAAATTTGTAGCCTAACTTAAAAAAAATACACTTAAAGCATACTATTTTTAGTGTCATGTTGACAATTATAAATAGATATTCTATTTCAAAACACAATAAGCAATTTATTACTTTATAGCAAATCAATAAGAAACAAATATTTACCTTTCCTTGACTGAGATGAACGAGTTTCATTCAGCGACCTCACTTTTCCAACTCTCAGGGGCTCAGTTTCTGGGGAATAAAATAAGTTAATTGTCATTACATGGTCAACTTAGAAAACCTCAGCTCTAGGACACCGATGAAACATAATTTTTTTTTAACTTCTTTACCACCAACCTGGCCTAAATCTGCAAAACCCAAGCTGAATAAAAGATAAAATTCCTGGAAGCTAAATAAATTGGCTCAGAGAAACAAAGGTAAGATGAGGTGTCCAGAGGTGGATCCAGAGAAGAAGTTTGGGCAGCCTTCCAGGGGGTTTGGGGGGCCTCAACCAAAAAATTTTTAACCTCAAAACAATCATTTTTAGCTATAAAAACACTTAATAACTACGCCCAGAATGTAGTTAATTACAAGCAAACTCTTTCCATTTCCCAAGCCATTCAATTTTGATTGTTTTCTATCAGTTTCGACTGGGTCTGTAACAAAAATCAAAACATGGCAAAATTGAGACATGCATTTTTTAGGCAAGGAAATGTATTAATTATAAATGTTACTAGCCATATATAATGTTAAATATTCAAATTGCAACAAGAATGCACATCCAAACTAACAAAAACATGACACGGCGATAAAACCGAGCGATGGGAAAAGTAAGAACAAGAAGGTGAATAGGCACAGGTTCTCCCACACAGAGAGATATTTAATTATCTTTTTGATTACTAAGCTATCCCATTCCTAATACATATGAACATTACAAGATCCTAATAATATAGCGTGTACATGGCTTTCAAACAAAACAATGTATGGTATGCAGTCCTCGTTGCCTCAGGGGTACTAGTCTCTTTGATTCGTTTTATGGCGAAGTGAGCTGGCCTGAGTTTATGGCAAAGACACACTACATGACGATCCCAGGATGAATTTTCATCAATTATGACGCCTAGATGTTTGATTTCTTCAGCTGCTATCAGGGTGGGCATTTCATTTATTTAAAATTATAAATGTTGTACATATTTTTACCAAAATATTCGTCGTTGAGGTGGGGAGGGGGGTGCATCTCCCAGTTCCACCCCATGAGTTATATTTCACAATAAGGTCAACAATATATTTCAATATTATGGGTTTTTCAACAACTCAAACCATAATCATATGTATAAAATGTCCTGTGACGCTGTACTGTTCTCAATGAGAACACACGTAAATCAAGTATAGTGTTTATTGTATAGAATAAATAAGTATTGTGTGGTACTGAATAGAAAAACTATTTGTGACAATCTTTTAAGACAGTTCCTATGAACAGCTACTGGCTAAATAAGGATCTCAGATTTTTTAAGTATCTAATTAGCCTACAAACCTTGGTCTGTCAGTTCCATAGTGCTATAGTCATGTTCCTGCCGTTCTTCACCTTGCACTATTTCTTCAGAGAGATATTGTTCCCCAATCACCTGGAAATGTTCTTCTTCTCCATTCTCTCCCACCACCTTTACCGTGATTCCTTCGTCTGATATTCCTGCCAATTCCGACACTTGCGCCCTTGGAGTGGGAGTGATGTACTTGGGTTTCTAAACAAATTAAGTCTAACTATAAACAGGTATTTAACCAGCTAACCCTTTGAGTGCTAGGCCAAAAATTTGTAGTTTTTAATATTTCTTTATTTACCTTTTAATTCTATTACCTGTTATTGAATTGTAGGTAACAGTTTTGTTCTCACTATTTTAAAACGTTTTTATTAGCTCGCTTTCTTGTCCGATACAAATTTTAAAATCAATTTTATACTAACTTCCCGACGAGCTAGAGACTTGAAACTTGAAACATAGCTCACAAATGGAAGACAATGCAATATTATTGTAGTAAAAAAACATGTGTCTTCAATTCTTTATTATTGTTTTGTTGTGTTTGTAAACAAATCCATTATAATTCAATGTAGTATTGTTCAAGTTATTAAAAACCTTTCTAAAGGTAATAAAAGTTCTTTTTCATTCGTTCTTACTCTCATTACAATTTTAATAACTTGATATTGTGAAATGAATACGATCCTAAAGCCAGACAAGTTTAGTGTAGATCCAAACTCATCATCTGCAAGTAAGGAATGGACACATTGGCACAAAACGTTTCAGAATTTTGTTACCAGCATCACACCACAACCATCCGACTCCGATAAACTCAAAATACTTATAAACTTTATTACTCCGGAAATCGACGAGTACATAAGTGAAAGCGGTACGTATAACGATGCTATATCTGTGCTAAGAAGTATCTATGTAAAACCTGTAAATGAAATATATTCCAGACATAAACTATCTGCACGTCAGCAGCAACCTGAGGAGACTATTGACCAATATCTCCAGGCTTTAAAATTACTAAGTAAAGACTGTCAGTTTAAAGCTGTCACAGCTGAAAAGAATAGGGATGATTATATCCGTGACACGTTTATTGCAGGAATAAAATCTTCAGCAATTCGCCAGCGCTTACTAGAAAATGTTTCGTTGACCCTAGATCAGGCATATAGTCATGCCAGATCCCTAGAACTTGCACATGAGCAATCATTAGCTTTCCAATCTATAGTAAATGCAACTTCGTCCCAAGAAACTCAAGCAAGCAATCAGAATGTTGAAGCAACTTCAAGCAGTTTAGAAAAGTGTTCTCTAGCTGCTGTGACTGAAAAATGTTTCTTTTGCGGTAATCTAAGACATCCTAGGGTCAAATGTCCAGCTAAAAATACAATTTGTCATAACTGTGGTAAACAGGGGCATTGTCTGCAGGGCAGGTAAACTACAAACCAAGCAATTGGATAAATCTAAAGAAGTAATGAACTCTATTGACCTAGCAGCTTCGCCCGGTGGGTTAACAAAGAGTACAGTACAAGCCCTAGTTAATGGTAAATCTGTCTCTGCTTTGATAGATACGGGAAGCTCTCTAAGTTTTATAAACAAATCTACTGCTCTTAATTTAGGTATTCCTATAAAACCAGGTAGGGGTACTGTCTCAATGGCTACTACATCAATCACATCCGACATAACAGGTCAATGCAAAGTAAATCTTGTCATTCTTGATCACTTTTACAAGCAAGTTAATCTTTCATTGTTACCAGATCTTTGTGCAGACATAATTGTTGGACATGATATTTTGAAAAACCATGCAAGTATTAAAGTAGTCTTTGGTGGTAACAAGTCACAACTAACCGTATGTAGCGTGGCAGCCTCAACTGTAGAACCGGTATCTTTGTTTTCTAATTTAAAACCGGAATGTAAGCCAATCGCAATCAAGTATCATCGCCATAGCACCAATGATTTAAAGTTTATTGAAAACGAAGTAAGTAAATTGCTCAAAGACGATGTTATAGAGCCTAGTATGTCTCCATGGAGGGCTCAAGCATTAGTAGTTACTACTGAAAATCATAGAAAAAGAATGGTCATTGACTACTCCAGAACTATAAATCGTTTTACATTACTGGACGCTTACCCACTACCTAGAATCGATGATATCGTTAACAAAGTTGCAAATTATGAGTTTTTCAGTACTATCGACTTGAAAAGTGCGTACCACCAAGTTAAGATAAGAAATGAAGAAAAGCACTACACAGCTTTTGAGGCCTGTGGTCAACTCTACCAGTTTAAGCGTATCCCGTTTGGGGTCACTAATGGGGTGGCAGCATTCCAACGTGTAATTGACCAAGTCATCCGAACAGAACAGTTACAAGACACTTACGCCTATCTTGACGATGTTACTATCTGTGGAAAAACACAAGAACAACACGATATAAACTTAAAAAAAGTTTATCGAAGCTGCATCCAAATACAATCTAACTATTAATAATGAGAAGTCTTCATTTTCACTGCGATCGATCAACTTGTTGGGCTATCATATATCAAACAAAACTATCAAGCCTGACCCCAGTCGACTAGATCCTTTGAAAAATGTACCTCCGCCCAGAGACACCGCATCACTGAGGAGGACCCTTGGTATGTTTTCACATTATGCATCACTTATACCAGATTATGCTGCCAAAGTGATTCCACTTGCGCGTACTACATTCCCTTTGTCCAAAGCAGGGCTCCAGTCTTTTGAAGCTATAAAAAGTGAAATCATCGGATCTGTAGTAAGCTGCATTGACCCTGAAGCACAGTTCATCGTAGAAACTGATGCATCTGAGAGTACCATTGCTGCTACTTTGACTCAATCGAACCGTCCAGTTGCATTCTTCTCAAGGATACTTTCTCCAGCAGAACAAAGACATTCAAGTGTCGAAAAAGAAGCACAAGCTATTGTGGAAGCACTGCGGAAATGGCGTCACTATTTGGTTGGTAAACATTTCAAACTGATTACTGACCAGAGGTCGGTTTCTTTTATGTTCGATAACAACCGTCATGGCAAAGTGAAAAATGAAAAGATAATGAGGTGGAAATTGGAATTGTCGTGCTTTCATTATGATATTGTATATAGACCCGGTAAAGATAATATGGCTGCAGATGCCTTGACTAGAGTATGTTCTTCAATCCAAAATCAAGAAAAACTGTTGATTGATTTACATGCCAATCTATGTCACCCAGGTGTGACACGTTTGTACCACTGGGTTCGGAGTAAGAACTTGCCCTACTCGATTGATGAAATCAGACGAATAACAAACTCCTGCAATGTGTGTGCTGCTGTGAAGCCTAGATTCTTCAAACACAAAGGGATTTTGATTAAAGCCACTTCTGCATTTGAACGTCTGAATATCGATTTCAAAGGCCCACTGCCTTCATCAAGTCGAAACCGTTACTTATTAGTAATAGTAGACGAGTTTTCACGGTTCCCTTTCGCTTTCCCGTGTTCAGACATGTCGTCGTCAACAGTTAAGTCAAAACTAAAAACATTATTTTCTACTTTTGGGGTTCCTAGTTACATACATTCGGACAGAGGAACATCATTTCTGAGCCAAGACCTAAAAAGCTACTTGAACTCTCTTGGTATCTCAACTAGTAGAACCACTGCGTACAATCCAGCAGGTAATGGGCAAGTAGAAAGGTATAACGGCATTCTATGGAAAACAATTGAACTGGCATTGAAATCACTTAACTTAGAAATAAACCAATGGGAGACAGTTTTAGAGGATGCCCTTAGCTCAGTGAGATCATTACTTTGCACAGCCACAAATCAAACTCCTCACGAGCGTATGTTCTTACATCCACGTAGATCTGGGAACAATGGTGTTTCAGCTCCTTCATGGCTTCTCAATTCCGGCCCTGTGTACTTGAAGAGATTCAATCGTACGTCAAAGTATGAGCCACTTGTTGAAGAGGTCCAACTTCTTCACGGAAATGCCGAGTATGCTCATGTTAAGTTGCCTGATGGAAGAGAAACTACCGTGTCTACACGTCATCTTGCTCCAGTTGGTGAGTGCCAAACCGACATAGAGCAAACCGATTTTGAGAGTGATGAAAATACTCTATTACCCACTTCTCAACCTGAACCTGAATACTTTCCTAGTCCATCATCAACACAGAATCAAGAAGATGAAATGAATACTACTGCCGAGAATTTACAACCTAGACAAGAAGCCAATAAGAACCATAACACATATCCGAGAAGAAGTTTCAGAAGCAGAAGACCTCCTAATTATTTAAATGACTACGTTCATTAACATTAGGGAGGAAGAATGTAGTAAAAAAACATGTGTCTTCAATTCTTTATTATTGTTTTGTTGTGTTTGTAAACAAATCCATTATAATTCAATGTAGTATTGTTCAAGTTATTAAAAACCTTTCTAAAGGTAATAAAAGTTCTTTTTCATTCGTTCTTACTCTCATTACAATTATATAATTTAATTTTCATATTTCCCTTGGGCTTGTTTTTATTAAATCGCTTTCTTGCAAATTTTGATACTTCCCGATGAGCTAGAGACTTGAAATTTGAAACATAGCTCATAAATGGATGACAATACAATATTATGACATTTAATTTTCATATTTCCCTTGGACTACGCCCCATGGGCTTGTTTTTATTAGCTCGCTTTCCTACAAATTTTGATATCAATTTTAAACTAAGTTCCTGATGAGCTAGAGACTTGAAATTTGAAACATAGCTCACAAATGGATGACAATGCAATATTATATAATTTAATTTTCATATTTCCCTTGGGCTACGCCCCTTTGGCTTCCAAATTTTCCATGTTTACATTTTAAAAGAATGTAAACATATAAATTAATTTAAGTCAGCTGTAAATACTTAATGTTGACAGTTAGAAGAGCAGAGGTTAAGAGGTACAGGTTCTGCTCTCGAGATATTCTAAAAATATAAAACAATCATTTCAAAGTAAAGATAAAACATTTAATTACAGATAATAAGGTTTTAGGTTTTGGTTATGTAAAATAGATTTAACATATTTACACATAAAAGACTAAAAACTAGATAATAGTTTATAAATAAAAATACTTTTTAAAAATTCCACGTTTTTAAACGCACTAAAAAGTATAAAATAATTTATAAAACTTTGAGGGAATAAATACTTGTAAGATTTAAAACGAAAAACGTGGGGCAGATCATAATAGTTCAATAGGTGAAGTTAATTGTAAATCAGCATGCGCCCTACGTTTTTCGTTTTAAATCTTACAAGTATTTTTATTCTCTCAAAGTTTTATAAATTATTTTATACTTTTTAGTGCGTTTAAAAACGTGGAATTTTTAAAAAAGTATTTTTATTTATAAATTATTACTATCCAGGCTAATTTGGAATATTAAACATTCATTATTATCGATGATTTTTTTTATATAGGCCTATCGGTAGGCCTATTTTTGTTTTCCATTACAATCCATATTCCTTTTTTATATCTTCAAACGCATTTAAATTACAAATTGAGAATGATACATGTCTAGGCAAAAATAATAGGCCCTAGTAAGAAATTAAACTGTTCTAAAATAACCTTAAACAACTAACAAAACTTGCTATCAGGCTACCATTTCAAAATTCCGTTTGACAGAAAAGGCATGTGGAGAATATCCTTTAAAATGAACTAGTGGACCTGTGCGGTTCAATGCCCCGCAAAATGACATATGAATTTAGAAAACAAATTCATCGCATTATATATTGACTCGACGTCGAAAATTAAATGCAGTAATAATGAAGCCTTGGAAGGGAAGCAGTTCAGCCATTTTCTAGCTGTATGTGTATTACATTTAGTAAATTAATAAGTGTTCAGGTTCAAGTATGTTATAGGCAGCGAGCAAGGTTATAGGGTAGTTATTTTTTAAAGATTTTTAAAACACATTTAACAAAAAATTTTATCATATCAAACCAATAGGCCTATGTAGCATATTTTGAGGGTCATAAAAATGCTGCTTGAAGAAAACACACTTTTAAAAATAAACACTAAAAAACAATATCTTTATCACAAAATCACTTCCATGAATACTACGATTTTAGCCTTAAAGTTACCTTCAGGAAGATTACCCTGGTCAGAGTTTTCCGTAACGAATATGCGTATCCTATTAAAAGATGTAGCCTTACTTAAAACAACATATAATATAGTTGCTCATGACTCAATTGGTCTGGGTAAGAACAGCGCTGCAAATGCCAAAGGTAACAGAAATTAGCATCTTTCCATTTTGAAAGGTAAGTTTGTTTCAGATGGGTAAATCTTTATCCTCGAAATCAAAATATGTCCCCACTCACTTGTTCCAGTTAAGACTTTACATTCTATTAAGTTGTTAACCATTGATTCTGATCACATGAAGCCTTGTGCCCTTTTTGATATATTAATATTCCTCATCAATAAAACCACTGCCCCCTTTTATTAGTCTAATCTGTTTCTTGGCCATCCACTGACCTCTATATTTAAAAACTCAGTTGGATTTTCTAGATAGGTGTCTCCGCCTTCGTCTGTTTTTAAGGACCCACTCTTCTTCCCCTTGGTATACTGACAATTAATTACCTGACTTGTCAAGTTCATGTAGTAATTCAATAATACTGTTAGTTTATAAAGAAAATTAGATAAAAGTTACTTGGCTTGGTGCTTTCATAACTGCAAACTCAAAATACACCCACAAGTAAAAAAGAATGGTTAAAAAAACTATGTGTAATAACATTATTCACATGAAGTAGATGATTTGTTTGATTTGTCGATCAGCTGTTTAGTTTCAAATGAATTAATAATGTCAAAGATTTGTGATTTAAATATATAAATTATTATAGTAAAGTTTTCTAAATCATGGTAACTTGTTCTCCACTAAATTTTACTATTCCCAGCATTAAAATAAAGTATTAAGATCCATTATGGGTAAACTTTAAGGTACACAATCCTTGATTGAAATGTAGTAGGTATACATTAAGAGTCATAATACACAGCAATTATTATGTAGTAGACTTTGACTATTTTCAAGTAGCAAACATATGTTTCTGTAAATAAAAATTATCTCCCATGTTATCCTTATGGAGAAATACGAAACTTTAAAGGGCTCCAGGGCCTCAATATCTCATTATTTCCCTAAAAAGAAAGCTTCCTGCACAACTTCACGTTACCCTCTTTCCAATGACACCAAAAACATGTCAATCGGTTCAGTAGTTTCGGAGGAGTAATTGTCACAAAAAACCTGCTTGCGTATTAAATAAGTATAGATTTATAGCTTACCTTATTTTATATTTATTAAGTTTAGTTAGTTTAGTTTAGTTTACTTAGTTTCATTTAATATATTTTTTTAAAATTGTTTGTTGATACTTAACAATAATTTGTATTTTTATCGTAGTTGTCAGCTGATGTGTTTCAATTCGTCAATATCGATATAACTTAAACTTATCTGATCAAAATATAAAATATCAATATAGGCCTACTAGGTGGCGTTCGCAGAGGCATCCACAAAATTGAGCGGAGTGATCAAGGGTTCATATTATATCGTTTTTATTCTTAAACGACATGGTATATTAGGTGAGGTCAATACTTCAGTATGATAATATTTTTGTTGGGCATCACTCACCTTATTGAAGTCACGAGAACGTAGTCCTTGTCATGTCACAATCATACACAGTTCATTGCACATAAAAATATACAAAAATAAAAATAAATCCAAATTTAAAATATCAGACAAAAGTTCTCAACACCGACGTTTCGCCGCACCAAAATCAACGTGCGGCGTTTTCAAGGTTATTCCTCTTCTCACGCAATCGTTGTGAGCGCCTAACCACGACTGACGACCCCGGTGGTGGAGGAGGGGGAGGGGGGACTCTGTTATCAAGAACAGCTGATGGCATTATCTTCTTTTGTTTAGATTTTTCTATGCATCCTTTAATTTCTTTCTCTATTAGTGTATTGTAAACCGGGCTGATATCAATGGATGCGTTGGCTAATGAATCTTGATCTGAAGTAATAAACAAAGCCTCAATAATATTCCTTTTCTTCCAATTAGGCTCCTTGTATAATATACAGCTTTCCTCCCACTTTATACAATGCCCGGTGTCATGAACGTGTTCATGACGTTGTATATTTTTATGTGCAATGAACTGTGTATGATTGTGACATGACAAGGACTACGTTCTCGTGACTTCAATAAGGTGAGTGATGCCCAACAAAAATATATCGTTTTTGTCATACTGCAGTAAAAACAGTAGCCTAGTTTTTAAAGCATGCTTTAAGGGTCTAAAGTAGCATTTTCAATATTTAGGGAGTAAAAATTGTTTAAAGCCTCTATGGAGGAAAAATCGACTGCCATCAACTCATTTGTAAATTTCGATTTTTAACGATTGCATGTATCGATTCGTGCTTCGTAATCATTTTAACCTACAGTCTACAGTCTCTTCCCGTAGCATTTTAGCATTGCAGATACATTAATCCATTCCCACACTCAACACTGCTCACCTTTACTACTTCCTTCACCACCCTCTACGTCGTGGACCTGTTTCCCTCTCTTCCCATAGCATTTTAGGATTGCAGATACATGAATGTAATTGCCAAAGAGAGTTCCCACGCTCTGCACTAATAGCCTTACTACTTCCTTCACCATTTCCTACGTCATAGACCTGTTTCCTTCCTTTCTCATAGCAATTAAGTATTACACATTACGAGTCATTACCGGCAGCGTATTTCCTGTGGCCACCAACAACGTATCCAACTGAAGTTAAACAAGCGGCGAAAATCTAAATGCACTCTGGACATTCGATAAGTTACTTAGTTTTCTCAAGGATAGGCCTAGACCTAACATGGTATAACTTACTTTGTGTTGACATTAATCCGCAATTGAATGCAAAAATACTTAGCGTGCCTGATTGAGCTGGAAATCAAAGTTTTCCGGGTAATAAGCAGGAGCCCAAAAATTAAATAATCTAACGGAATGTTCTATACCGGTAGCCTAACTTATCGATTATTTCATCCGATTATAACTTAACTTAACCAAACTTGATATAAAAAAATAATCTAACTTAACTTAAATAGGCCTAGGCCTATCGAAAATTTGATATTTTCATTCGGTATTTTGGAGTCCTGCCGGGTAGACTTCCGTATCTGTTGGCACAAACAACCGAATGAAAATATTGATTATTCTAAATATCGTTTGGTTAGTTTGAGGTTAGGTTAACCTTCCTAGAGAGCAACTAAACAAATGATATATCAAATAACTTAATCGATATATCGATCGATATTTTTGTTTGGTTGTTTGTGCCAACAGATAGGCTACAGAAGTCTACCCGTCCTGCTTATGAAAATCTACCCAGGTTTCCCTTGAAACTAACCTATGTTACCGGTAAACTTAGGTACAATGATGACTGCAACCTTGTAGGCCTAGGTAACTTAACTTACCTTGGGTACAACTCCAAGTTTAATTGAAAAACCATGCTTTCTTTCTAGATGTTTTTTCAAATTATTTGAAGTACTTTTCATAGACAATCTTTGGTGACAGATGTTGCAAGAGGCAATTTCTTCCCTCTTATCTACAATTGTGAATTTTGTCCAAATCAGGCTGGTTCTTCGATTTTTCTTTCGTTTAAAAACCACAGGCCTTTCTAAAGTCTTAATTTCCCTTGCTTGCACGTAACCCTCTTCAGTTAAAGTAGGCATGGATTGCATTTCTACACTCGTACCTGCCCTGAAGTCCTCAATATTAACTGTTTCATATCCATCTTCTTTTGGTTCATAGTCTGGATCGTTTCCTCTATCATCAACTTCGACGTCTGACATTGTTTGTAAATATTATAACTACCAAACTTATTGTTAAAATCCAACACCTAACTTAATTCGAAATTTTGTTGACAACCGCCCAAATAACAGGTTCCACTGTACGTACAACTAGTATCACACAACGAATCGATAGACTGCCGCCATGTTATGTTGCTCTTGCTCAGTATTCTCTTTAACTTCTGTTCTCTGCTGGATCTGTAACTGCATGTAACTGGAACGAAGCTACCACAGCTCCAACCAAACATACAGTTGAGCGGTAAACCATAGCCACCTCTACTGATCAGCTGAAGCAGTAAAACGCCGAAAATGAACTACAGCTAAAGCATTCTATGGCTAAAGGTAGTCTAACACACTCGTGTCTACGTCTACGCATTACGTTCACTGCGTTTGGATTTAATTTGTTTGTATACTGCAAGTAATATTAATATTACAAGTATTTTTAAGTTAAATTCTTACTTCAATCAACTAAGCAGGGGCGTAACAGATTTTTTTCGGTCCCCCCTGCAAACTTATTTTCCGGGCCCCCCTCCCACGAGTTATTTTTAGACCAGACCGAGACCACCGAACCGATACAACCAACGATGTAAAAACTACTGGATTGCGCTCTCAGTAGCACTGCGGGCGCTGTTTTCGGTCTAGCTCCCCCCACCATCTACTGGCAGTAGCCGACGCAGCCCATACACTCACCATTGTAAAACGCACCTTTTTAAGTTGCCGCTCTGTTTAAATATATAGATATAAAATATTGCTAATGCATGCCAAACACTTTTACTATTCTAAACTTTATGTCTTCTTCTTTCCTTGCAGAAAATAACACATTTGAACACTTAAAAACCCTACTACATTTGTCCAGTTTTTACCGCAAATCTATGCTTGTCATTAACGTGATAGGCATACTTTTTTATGACCTATTTTGTAAAATACATTTTCATTAAACATTGAAAGAAAAAATATCGCGTTTACGTCTAACATAAAGTTACCACTGCGGCAAAAACTTAGCAAAGTTATTCAAAATGTTTATGTACTATTTTTTTCGATTAAAAAAATAGAATTTCAATTACAAATATTGTACTCTATAATCTCCTTTATAATCACTTATTATTTTACCATGTACAATTTGGAACTAGCAATATCAGTTGTCTAAAAACATCTACAAAACGGGTTTAGTTAATTTGTAGTTTTAAAAAATTCAGATGGGCTATTTTCTGCAAGAAACAAGACAAGACATAAAAGGTTTAACTAGTAAAACGAGTTTGACAAGCGTAAGCAATATTTTATCCCTATAAATTTCAACAGTGCAGCAAATAAAAAGTGTGTTTTATAATGGTGAATGTATGGGCTGCGTCGGCTTCTGCCAGTAGATGGTGGGGGAAGCTCGACCGCGCGGCCAACACTGAGCCAGCGATCCATGAGTTGTTTATATCGTTGGATACAACATAATAACATCCTCTCCCTGTTTTTTTAGACCACCGATACAATGATCAAACAGTTGTTTTGTCATAAATTGAGATTGAGTAGTAAATAAACTATGGGTAATTAATGTTTCATAAAATGACGTGTTAAGTAAGTTATTTCAGTCATGGTTTGAGGATAAAGTTATATCACCACATCCATTATATATACAGGGTGTTCATTTGAAAACTTTCCATATCTGTTGTGTGCAAAGGTAAGGCTTTTAACACTTGTTTGTTCTCATTTCCCCCTAATTTGGACATGCCAAATCCAATAAAATTATTTTCAATTTTGAAAAATGCCCCAAAAGGGCCCAATTTGGGGGGTAGGGGTGCTTTTTGAGAAATTTTCAAATGTAAACATGTGTTGTGTGATACATCAATTTAAAGGTCTAATCACCCCGATCATTTTGGTGCAAAAAAGTTTAATTATCTTTAACCGTATTTACAGGGTGGGTCAAAACCTTTTAAAAAAGGACTTTGAAGTTAAGTACCGTATTACCCTAACTACTGAACAGAACAGCGCCAAATTTCTTTCCAAGCTTATTCTTGAGCTACTCTTTAAGATAACTTGTAGTAAGGGCATTTTCCAAGTTATTTTCTAATTTTTAAAAAATCTCAAATTTTAAGAATAAAAGAAAGCTGAAAACTCAAAATTCTTAAATAGCAAGGTATAACAAATTTCATACCACGTGAAAGGTCCTTTTTCAACAAACATTTTACGTATTTAAGTTTTCTTTCTATCTCTTACCGTTTAAAAATTGCAGTAGAAAAACATAATTTTCTGTGGTAAAATTGTAACTAGTTTTCTAATAAAACAGCCAAAATTCGTCTCTAGACACATTAAATGGTGGAATAACTGAAGGAAACAATTCATAATTATTTTTAGGCAGATAGGCAAACAAGTCATTACGTTTTACTTTGTGAGAAACAAGTTTTATAGCTGATGACAAAAACCCAAGCGTGGGCCGCTTTCTGTAGTACCATTGACTAGTCAATGGTAGTACTAATTTCAAAAGTACCATTTCCTGTAGTACCTAATCAAATATGGTGTAAACTTAAAAAAATATACTTTATTTTACTTATTGGTCATAACAAAAGTGTTCCAGGATAACTGCAAAGTGTTTAACAATAGATATCCAGGTATAACCTTGAGTCATATGGCTGTAAATGATTTAGTTAGGAAGTTTTCTGAAACTGGCTCAGTTATCAATGAGAAAAGAACAGGATGGAGGGTCCAAGATGAATTCTGACACACGTAAAAGTAGTCGATCAATTTGTTATGAATCCTACTACATCGTTGAACAAAGTGCAATGTGTTTTATTAGAAAACTAGTTATAATTTTACCATGGAAAATTATGTTTTTCCACTGCAATTTTTAAACGGTAAGAGATAGAAAGAAAACTTAAATACGTAAAATGTTTGTTAAAAAAGGACCTTTCACGTGGTATGAAATTTGTTATACCTTGCTATTTAAGAATTTTGAGTTTTCAGCTTTCTTTTATTCTTAAAATTTGAGATTTTTTAAAAATTAGAAAATAACTTGGAAAATGCCCTTACTACAAGTTATCTTAAAGAGTAGCTCAAGAATAAGCTTGGAAAGAAATTTGGCGCTGTTCCGTTCAGTAGTTAGGGTAATACGGTACTTAACTTCAAAGTCCTTTTTTAAAAGGTTTTGACCCACCCTGTAAATACGGTTAAAGATAATTAAACTTTTTTTGCACCAAAATGATCGGGGTGATTAGACCTTTAAATTGATGTATCACACAACCCATGTTTACATTTGAAAATTTCTCAAAAAGCACCCCTACCCCCCAAATTGGGCCCTTTTGGGGCATTTTTCAAAATTGAAAATAATTTTATTGGATTTGGCATGTCCAAATTAGGGGGAAATGAGAACAAACAAGTGTTAAAAGCCTTACCTTTGCACACAACAGATATGGAAAGTTTTCAAATGAACACCCTGTATATTTATATCAATATTAGTGTTTTTTATATTTTGGTTGGTTCTATTGCACTAAACCTTTCCACAACTAGGCCGATTTGAGGGGATGCAATTCTATCCCCTTCACTTCATCAGTAAACCTTCCCCAAACCGCATCAATTTTCCGAACAGAATAATACAAGCACTGTTTGCTAATACTGTACAAGAATGCCATAAATAAGTGTGTTTTTCATTTAAATGCTAGTAACTAGGTATAAGATCAATAAATTTTCGATAAAAAATATCCATGGACAATTAAACAAATAAAGTATACTCATTTTCCATAAGATTAACATTGGAATCTAGTATCATGGAGATACAGATACATACAAATTAATTAAGGTTCTATAATCAAGAAGTTTGCCACAAGGTCATGTTTTAGCGAATTTCCCATATAGGGAATAAGCTATTACCGTAGTACTCATGGTAAGACCTGGACGCGGGACCGATTTTTTTTTTCGTTTTGAGGTCCCTAGAGGCCAAAAACACCATCCGTTCAAATTCATATATATATATATATATATATATATATATATATATATATGTGTCCGTCAGCACGATAACTCGAGCAAAAATGATCCGATTTTGATGAAATTTGGTACAAACGTGTAAACCTACGTTTATTCGAACGAGTTCGCGATCCAGCATGATCGGACCATGGGAACGGGGGTTTACGGGGGGTTTTATGGGGTAAAAATAGGTTTTTCCCATTTTTGACCCAAAAAACATAAAATTTAGCAATTTCATTCCAAATCATTTTGTAGAGCTTAAAAAAACAAATAATTTAGTATATTGAAGCGTTGTTATACGCCTAATGGTTACGGAGAAAATTCCAAAAATATGGAGAATAAGTAAACTGTTGTAGTTTACTTGTTTATGAACATATTTTGATCAAATTTGGAAAATGTTTTAATTTCTTACTAACTATTAACATTTTACAAAAAAAAACAGTTTTACCCTCCCTGATGCAGCAAACCTAAGTACTTGTTAAACTAATTCTATTTAAATAGGGAATAAATGTTATATTTTTAAGTAGACATTTCAGTGTAAATCCAATCAGTCAAATGGAAATTCGCTTAGTCTGCAGGTTTGCTGCGGCGGGGGTATTTTATTTAAATGTTATTATAGCTTGGTATAATATAAATTTATCAAATTTGATTTAAAATGTCCATAAACAAGTAAACGAAACGAATATACCTCACTCTTATTTTCCATAAAAATTAACATGGGAATTCTAAATGTATAGCCTATCATGTTTTTTGAAATTTCTCCATAACCATAAGATGTACAAAGACTAAACTAAACTATTTACAAAGATAATTTAACTAAATTGTTTTGTGAGCTAAACAAAACGGTTTTGAAATAAACTGTGATTTTTCGTGTTTTGATGGACTACAAGGATCAAAAATTGGAAGAATCAATTTTTATCCGCATTAACCCCGTTCCCATAGTTTGATCATGCTGGTTTGCAAACCTGTTTATACATTTTTTAATTGAATTTCATCAATTACTCGAGTTCATGTTAACTGACACACACACAAATATTTGATATATATAAATTTGAATAGGTTGTGTTTTATGACCTAGGGATCACATCAATACGAAAAAGTAAAGTGGTTCCGGTTCTAGGTCCTACCATGAGTACTGTACCCTAATAGCTCGTTCTCAGTGGGAAATTCACTAAAAGGCAAACATTTTTAATTAAAACTATCAAATATGTAGCATATTGGGCGATATCAACATTTATGTGATTTTTTCCAGAATGCGATCCCTTGCCTCTGTGGATTTCAACAAACAGAAGCATCGTGGAAATCAACCAATCAGAGCAGAAAGCCTATATTATTATCTCTACCAAATCAAGAGCAATATTCTTCGACTTTAATTTTGAGTATAAAGAGATTTACTGGGTGGAAGAGGAAGATGGTGTGGGGCTGTCGACCAGGATGTACAAGTAAACATTATTCATTTTTGAACACCACTATTAATCTTTTTTATTATAACAACTAAAATAAAGTAAAAGTTCTTACATATAAAATGTACTTACTCTGCACTAAAAATGTATAGTAATTATAGTGCAGTACAGTTTTTACCATCCTGGACCTGGATATAGTATGATTGGTTAAATCCTTTTTTATTTCCTACGTTCAGTTCTTACTAATTTTTATTAATCTATGCTGATGATGAAAATGTAATAGTATCTGGTAGATATAAAATTAAATGGAACATAACAACATAACTACCTTATATGTTTTATTGTGCAAAGATTTACAGTTTAACTTAGCAAAAAAAATTACATACAATTTTTAACGGCTAAAACACCTAAATTTAGGTTTGTTGATACCAATTACATAACTCTAGTCAGTAGTCACTCGACTAAATTTTTAGTACTAATACTAATACTATTCCAAATATTTATCATGTTGTACCACATCAATCGATTAAGAAGTAAAATTTATTCTGGTCGATTTATGCAGTAACCTTTTTTGTGACTTGTAACAAGTTATCATGTTCCTTACGTTGAACATTATTAAAACAATTACAAAATCAAAGATCCTTTTTCTTGCTGCAGAAGTGGATTGCGCAACATAAACAGGACGGGAGAAGAAGGTGTTGTAAAGGAGCCGGGACCTCGCCTCCTGGTGGAGATGGGACCTTGTGGGGGTCTAGCCCTGGACTGGTTACACTCGCACATGTATTGGATACACAGGTAAATTAATTAAACACTTGTCGTGGAGAACAGACGATGAGAACTATGATATTTTATGGGGAAAATCACAAAAGTTGCAATAACTTTTTGAACCTGCAACCTAACAAAAACAAGTGTACACATGACGGATGCCAGTCTTGACGAGAATTCTAATTTAAAATACCAATTTAAATTAGTATTTCCATTTAAATTTAGGTCATGCTTATACTGTATTAGAGAGACCGTTGTTTTGATACACTCATGTTTCAGGGATACTGGCCTCATAATGGTGGCAACATTGGACGGAGGACACAGAAGAGTGGTGTACAATAATGCAAACAGTGACATCTTCACTATAGTAGTGGACCCGGTGAGGAGGTCAGTGGTTTTCTGTTCATTTGTGGAAGAAGTTTATGTTTCTTGTAACATTCTAGTCATTTGCATTGTTACCTTTACTAAGATGGGGACAAATCTGGGCACATTATAATCCGCAAGTATGAATGAAGGATGAGTGTAAAGTGGAGTGATATATCATGGATGGCTTTGTTCTGAGCTTAGGTTTGCTGGTTTTATCCAGGACCATTTATTTGTTTGAAAACCATAACCTAAGGCTAGACCCTCTATCAAATCAAAAAGCTATTGACTTTTTATCAAAATTGAACTATCATCAACCTTTTGATTACCAAGGGGGTATTATAACAATGCTTAAGGGTGTTCGATCGAAAATAAAATACTATTATTTTTTTAAGTATAATTGTTAAGGTCATTATAAGTGTAAGAAAAAATGTCACCTGAAATTTTTAAGTGGCCTAATAAGATAGTTATGGGGCTTTTAAGTGCTAACTCCGTTTGCTTTCCAGCTCAAAAACGGTTTCGACTATATTCACCAGACTACCCTTAAAAATTCCAAAAAATGTATCTTTACAAGCTAAAACATTTTATTTCCCATATCGTTTATAAATAAAAAAGTACCTTTTTTTGTAAATTCGATAACTGGTTTATTTTTAAATGAATCGAGAAAAGACGCATATCAGAACAAAGCCAATGGTGTACAGAATGTATACAAAAATACTCCAATGGAAAATTCTTAAGCGTTTAGAAACTGGAAAGAAAACAGAAATCACGTAAAACCAGCGTGGCGTGCGATGTGAGTGTGTACAGTGCTCATACGCGCACTCACGGCGCGCGGGCGCACGCCCCTCCCCCTCATCCCACGCACCGGCCGCGCCTACCCTGGTTCCCGCGCGCTCTACCTGCTCTCAGCTAGCTGCTGCCAACCTGTCACCGGTCACGTGTTTTGTATTTTGTAGTTATATTTTGTTTCTCTTGTCTGTGGTTATTGTTAGTATTGTAAAGGTGCGATGGGAACCAAAAAACCGCATAGTAAATACAAACCACGTAAACGCAGTAAACGCTCGAAAGTGCTTAGAAGAATCCATGAACGGAAACGCGAGGGCGAGGATGTAAACACTACTAACAATAGTTCAAATCTCTCCGAAGAAACTAGCGAGGAAATTTTCGATCGTCTTGTGGCATCCAGGTAAGTTTTATTTGAATAAAATCATATTTAAATGTTTTTTTATGTATTTGGAAAATTTACATTTTTAATTTCTTCCCCATATATGGAGAAAGTATTGTTTTCGTCAAAATGTTGTAGTTTGAGTTTTGAGTGTAGGCCTATATCTATTTTGGGTCCCCCTGAACCCAAAAAGTGGTACAGTATTCGAAGTGATGTCTGTGTGTCTTTATGTGTCCAGAGCCACAGACCACACATGTAGTCCTATGTTGATGAAATTTGGTCTGTAGGTACTAACTCATGGTATTTCCAGACATTTTTTTTTTGTTTTTTTGAATTGTGATTTTGAATGATGATTTTTCACATAACATAACGGGAAATCGGATTTTCTCGAAATTGACCCAACAGATTTTTTTTATTAAGTATGTAATAGTCCTTTACATTCTGAACAAAATGGTACAAATCCCATTTACCGTAAAAATTACAATTTAACAATTATTGTAACTTGTGATTTTTTACTATAAAATGTCATATTTACTCTCACCGCTTACCCATGATAAAGGTTGTTTACAAGCTTATGGGAGAAAGTATGTGTAGGAATGCTGATATCGTTTATTATTGTCGGTAATATTATTGTCGCGTCGCTGTGTAACGACTATTTTTTATTAATACAGTAGGCCTAATAATTTTAAACAGGATCCAAACAATTCTCTAATGTTGTCTACATTATGACTTGGTTGATTGAGTAAATGGTGCTTAATTTTAGGTTGGAATCTACAAATACCTCTGACGAGCTTCAAGACCAAGACAACCAATCCCATTACAGTTCAGACAGTGAGAAATCCTCCGAGTACTTACCTCCACTGCTAGTTGAAAAGTGCCATGATGTGGAAGACTATTCAATTATCGGTCGTCGAATTGTTGATATCAGTCATGTGTTGATGCAACTAGAAAAGTTAGCTTCTCATCCAAATGTATGTACGATGGGGAGATACAAATTTGAAAGGGAAGTAGTTAGTGGGCTATATTCAAAATGGGAGTATTATTGTGACAACTGTGAAAAAAGATTTGTTGTCACATCCGAACCAGAAGAAAGTAAAGAAGCGCCTAATAATGCACTTGTGTGGGGAGCATTGAGCGTGGGTCTAGGCTATGCTCAAGTTGAAGAACTGTTCTCAGTTATGGATATTCCTGTAATGGGGCGACCAAAATTCAAATCCCACGAAAAGAAAATAGGCAAGGTACGTAAGCATATTATTACAAAATATATATTCTACAATACCGTTTCAGGATAAGCGAGTAAGCAAAGTGAAATCCTCTCCATTCGTTTGTTCAATTATGTAATTTTATATTGTTTAACACTTTCACCTTTCAGTATTTAATTTCCATAAACCATATTTGGTTGTCCACAAAATAAAAATTAAAACATAAACTCACCATTACCAATTTAAAACAATTATAAAATAATTTTGTAATAAAATAAGTTTATTTTATAATAAAATAGTTGTACATAGACTCTGTTGTTCACGTTTCTGTTATACACTTCTGGAAAATTTCGGCTAAATCGGTTCAATAGTTATTGCGTTTACCCTGAACTACAGACAGACAATAAATCTATTTTGTGATATTATAAATAATATTGATATTGATGTATCTAGGTAATTTTGTATAATCTTAACAAGTTTATTTTAACCATGGTTTAACAATGATGATGTTTTGTTGTCAGAAACAACATTTTTTAGAACCTTTTTCAAATCCTGACAAATATAAAAATAGCCACAAATTTAACGATGGTACTGGAAAGTCTCATTATGAATTTCTAGAAACTAGTATTTCTTTTATTTGTCAAGTTTCTAAGCACAAAACTATCAATAGGTTACTTATGCATTTCAAACGGTTCATAATTCATGTTATCTTCAAAAATTGTTCACTACTTATGTAAAAGCTCATTACATGTTATTTTTGTGGGAATTGCTGTTATTATTTAGGTCTGGGAAGATACCCTATACTCAAAAATGAAGGCAAACGCGGAAGAAGAGAAGCGCATTGCTTTAGAAAAAGGTAACATCCTGAATGGAACCCCCTTCATTACTGTTATTGGAGATGGTGGCTGGGCGAAAAGGAGCTACGGACATGGCATGACATCAACAGGAGGAGTGGTAAGAAAGCTATATCGTTTTCTCAAAAATTTTAAAAGTTTAGGTGTGGGAACGCTAATTTATTCTTATAAACCACTTCAACTATTATTTATTCTAACTTCAAATAGGGTTTAGTTAAACATTTCCTCACCCCCACCAACGAACTGTGATTAAAACACGAACTGTGATGGGATGCGATGCAACTTTTTCAAACTGAAACGCGTCAAGGTACATGGTACATGTGTATGTGCACAAGGCACCTGTGTGTGATCGGGGTTGCCACCGCCACTGTCAGTGTGCCGTGGCGGTGGCGCAAACGGCACGCAACATTACCGCAACGATACGGGACAATGTCATCGGCCTCGGTGATATAATGGTTAGAGTGCCGGACTGACGAGTTGATAGAGCCGGGTTCGATACTCACCCGTGGTACAATCTTTTTGTCTCCGATTTTTCCATTATTTAGGTTTTGACAGTTTAATTTTATAATTGAAACATTATAAAATTGAATTTGAACCATTTGTAGTTTAATTTTATAATAATTATTAATAATTAATTTCATAGTGTAACATTTTATCATGTATTGTTTTGTTGTATTACAATATTGTAATGTATTGTTTTAGGGCGTAATCATAGGAGCAGAGACAAAGAAACTATTATACCTCGAAGTCCGGAACAAATTTTGCTACGTGTGCACAAAAAGCAAAAACAAAGGAATTGAATCACCAGAGCATGTCTGTTACCTCAATTATACAGGTCCATCAACAGGTATGGAAGCAAATATAATCGTCAACGGCTTCAAACGCAGCGAAGTAGACTACGGCCTAATATATAGATATTATATAGGCGATGGCGACTCGAGCGTGTTTGCTCGTATTCAAGAAAGTTGTAGTTATGGACGGTTTGTACAAAAAGTGGAATGTGCAAACCATGTCACTAGAGCCCTCAATGATCAACTGCACAAAATCGCAGGTAACACCAAGTATCCCATCGCAAGTAGGAAGCTCCTTTTGACACCGAATGAAGGAGAGGTAGTACCTAGACTGGAAAGAATAACAAAGGGTGTTAGAACGGCTATAAAAGAAGCTGCTATCGGGACTTCAGATAGTAATGACAAAGTGTCAAACTTAAGGCACGATCTGAAAAACTCTGTTGACCATGTCTTTGGCCAACATGATTGTTGCAGAGATACATTCTGTACAAGGCAAGGTTCTGATGCGAACGTTATAGATGTCGTGGACAAGGAGTTTTTGCTCGAAATAAGAAAGGCATTAGCTAATGTTGAATGTAAAGCGGAGAGTTTAGTTTTAAATAGAACAACTAACCAAGCAGAGCAATATATGTCTCTAGTGGCAAAATTCACCGGAGGTAAGAGAGTGAACTATTGCTCTAGAGGTTCTTATCGAAGGCGATGTGTAGGAGCTGGCCTAAGTCACACGTCAGGACCCGGGTGGCACTTGAGCCCTTGGAAAAAACTCAATAGGAAAAGTCCAGGGGGAGTGTTTAAGTCTAAAGTAAACACTAGAGTGCAATTAAAATGCAAACGATCTCTAGCTTTCAGCCAGAACGGACCACCAAAAAAGAGAAAACGCTACGGAGGTTCCTACGACTCTGAGTACGGCCCCCTTTGCATCGAACCTGATATGAAACCAGAGGCTTTGAATGAAAAAATGGAAGAACATATGAGAATGCTGTCAAAAAATGCAGAAAATTGTCAAGATATAGAACGAAAAACTGTTGGTCAGCACAACAACCAGCTGTGGAGGGAAACAAGAGTGAATATGCTTACCGCATCCAACTTCGGGAGCGTTGTGAAACGGCGTGAGCACACACCATGCCATAATCTCGTGAAACGTCTGTTATACTCTCGGGAATTATCTACAGCAGCGGTTTTATTCGGGCGTGTCCACGAAAAAGATGCAATTGAAGATTATGAAAAACTTACTGGTGTTTCAGTTGAACCTTGTGGCCTGTTTATTTCTAAGGAAACGCCTTTCCTAGGTGCAAGCCCTGATGGCCTAGTGGGCAGTGAAGGTATTATTGAAGTGAAATGTTTGTCATCGGTAAGGGGAGACTTGAAAGAATTTGTGTCTTTAAAAAAAAACCAAACATGTATGGAGTTAAAGGAAGGGAAAGTGATGTTAAAGAGATCGCACAACTATTTCTTCCAAATACAGGGCCAACTTAACATAACGAAGAGGAGTTGGTGTGATTTTATTGTATATACAAGAACAAATGACTTGTTTATTGAGAGAATCAAAATAGACAGTGAGTTGTGGAGTAAAACAATGCTGCCAAAACTTATCCGTTTCTACAACTATTGCCTTTTACCAGAAATGGTAGATAGCAGAATAAATCGGCACCTTCGTGTGCGTGATCCAGCGTACATCATAGATGCCCAAACTCGTAAAGAAGAAGCAAATATGGCTAAGACAAGAAAGAAAAACAAGTAGTGGGCGATTCTCAGGGATCCTGCTTTGTTATTTTTTAGAGTTAATTAAAACTGCTTCAAACATTGTTTTTGTATACGATTTCTCTAAATCATTCCTTGTAATTAAAATAAAAATAATTTTTCCTGGAATTAAGATTTAACTTGGTCAAGTTCTATTACAGTTAAATGGTACTCTTTCTAGAATTTTAAGTTACACTTTTTTGGTAAAATTAGTCAATTAGTGCAATAACTTAAATTAGTAAATAATTAAAAATTTAATTTGTTAAACCTTTAAAAAAAAAAATTAAATAGATTTTGAGATATTGTTAAATTTCCAATCCATGTTTGCTTGTCCCGTACAACTTTCAAAAGGTGAGATTTTTGTTTTAAATCCCAACCTAATTTATATTTTTGATTACAACTTCAAAGGCATAGACCCTAAAGATAAAATAAAAACAAATAGAGGAAAACATTTGATTAACATAATCATCGATAAATTGACCCATAAAACAATATTTTATTTAGACTTTTAGAGAGGGCAGTATACACTGTCAACTGGGGTACAACAACCAACAGTGATGCGTTTTCCAACGAGATGGGCCGCGGAGGCTCAGAACAGAAGCGGGAGTGGTAACAACAAACAACGTTGGGTGAGGTGAGAGTGAGACAGAAATACATCTCGCGCGCTCTCTCACTCCTACTCCAAGAGAGGCTCGCACACGGGCTTGTTCGAGTTAGGTTTAGTACACGTCGCGCGCGTAGTGGCCAACGCTGGAACTAAACACTCCCAGCGCCTGTGAGCCATGCCGTTATTACACCCTTAAATTGAACATGTGAATACAGCAATATGGTTGTAAATTTATCTTTAAAGATTTATAAAATGTAATGTATTTTAAATACATACAAAGAATAGTATGTGTCACTAAATAAAAAAATACACATGTTTCTGCTAATTAAATGTCTGACGTTGACCTATTTGATGACAAAGCAATTTTCTTAACATTTCCAGGTATCTTTTCTGGACTGAGACTTCCTGGGTAAACTCGTCCTTGGCCGCCCCAGCAGACATCGTAGCCTCAGACCTGAGGGGAGAGCATGTTCATGTGGTCGCTCCACGTGCAGTGGAGGGGGTGAGGACCATCGCCTTGGACGTGACGGAACGACGGCTCTACTACATGAGCCGGCCCAGGGTGTTGGCTGTTTGCGACTACGACGGGGGCAACAGGGTGAGGCAATATGTTTACTGCCATGCTTCAACAGAAATCACAAGAGTTCTTCTAACAAATAAGTACCTAATACATGATATTGTTTAGTATTTTTCTTCTCTGATTAACCCTTGCTGGGTATAATGAGTGGATGCTACTTGATGCTTTTGTTTTATGTCAGTTCCTTGTGGCAAGCTTCGGATCACCATTTGTTTATTTTTACGTGTTTTAAAATTTTAATGAATTCTTTACATCAGTACTAAACAGCATACAACCAGTTACTATACCACGTTTCTGTTCTATTACTAGGTGATAGTTCGGGCTGATCTACCATTCCCGCCATCATTCTCTATCAGCAACAAACAGCTGTTCTGGACATCTGCCGAGGGAGAAGTGACGACCGCATTGAAACACACCGACAACGAGGAGAACACATTCCCTGTCAAGTTGTCACTGTGCCAGCGATGCTCCCATGTGGAGGTGTGTACTCTAGAATTTACTAGTTGTAGGGTTTATCACACATAAATAATAGCAAGAGATCAATGGATCCATCACGGGTTTCACTCAAATCAGGTGTGGACCTTGTCTCTAGATGTATCAGTCACGTGGACATTTTATGCTCCCAAATAGTGCCTCAGAGTCTGTCAAAGCTGCTTGATGTATTGCAGCATTCTGTCTATAAGCTATTCCTGAGGAAAGTGTCTGCCCTTCAATACTTCCAAGAGTATATTATTTTACTTATACAGCTGTGTAGTGTGCAGCCATGAAGTAAATGGTCTGAAGTCTCCTCAGACCCACACATTTCCTGTATGCTAAGCCCCCTCTCCGTTTTGGATCCTCAAGCAATACACGGCTGCAAACGTCAGGATACTTCATCAGAGTAATTGAATCAGTCAATTATTGGATTAGTTCCTTGTTTACCGGCCAAGAACAACGATTGCGAGGTATAGGATCTTCTTAAGAAAGCCATAACCTTTGATCAATCCTACAATCTATCTAAATTGCCTCCTGTCTAGTCAAAGAGAATTGGAGTTGCAGGCAACTGTCTGAGACAGCAAAACTGAACTTACTTTGAAATTAATTTTGATTCAATTAATATATTGTGTTGGTTTTAGCTACTGTTTTGATAAGTCAGTTTCTGTTGACAGAGAGCAGCCATGTTTGGACCACAGACGTACTTGAGGGTGGTGGATGGCAGGATGCAGCCGATACCAGACACTGATCACCACTCGTACTCGCAGTGTCTGCTCAACATGACGACAGCGTCCGAGGTTTGTCCGTGTTCCTTCGGCTACATGATCAACAACCGCAGCCAGGCCTGCAAGGAACAAGGTAATTTTGAGTAAATTACTATCAAATAGTTTTATGAAATAAAATATAGATAAAAGATCAAATAATAATTAGATGAAATAGTTAAAACGACCATTTTTAATAAGTGTACCAACATAGCAAATAAGCTTGTCACAAAATTTGATCGGTTTAAAAAATAATTTATATCTCTTTTAGAACAACTGTGGGATACATCAAGGCCCCACTAGAAAGATACATTCTACAACAATCTTTTTGCCCCTAAATTCATAAAATCACATGGAGTAATTTAAGCTTCATACAATACTTTTATTATTGGAAACACAAATAAAAACAAGTACCATTTATTTACTCCTCTCTGCTCTTTTCACTACTATGATGAATCCCTAAGCTTGTAAGTATACATGTTGATCTTCTCAGGGTACTTCTTGGCATCTTTTGGCTCGGAGCTCCAAGCAGTGTCAATGAGAGGCAGAAGACTTCCTCTGCTTTACAAGAGACAGGCTCTACTCAGCTCCGTGGACATTCACTTTGTCAAGGGCTTGTTGTTCTGGTATGACTTGGCGGAGGCTAAAATATTCAGGTGAGAGTAGAAATGAATCAATGAATGTTGATTATCAAAAGTTCCAACAAAACTGCATGGAATGGTTCATCTTTGAAATTGTGTATGGTTAGAGTGTACGTAGGGAGATTCTGACACAGAGAGTATTTTGTGTGAAAAGACTACAAAATGTTGGTACTAATCCATGGTATCAGGGCCGATTTACCGAATAGGCACGGTAGGCACCTGCCTAGGGCGCGAGGCAATTGGCTTTTTTGGGGGGCGCCAAAAATTTGGAAATTAAAAAAAAATCGTGGTAGTATTTGCATGCTATTGCGGTAAACGTCTGATAACCCCTCGCGGCCGTGTAGGCATATAGTAGTCGCCTCCCGCGATTGTGGCAAAATGGTAATCCTCTCCCGCGGACATATATGGAGATAATCGTCTTCGGCGAATATGAGGCAAAATTATGATCTTTTCCTGCGGTCATTTGGACATTATCATCGTCTTGTGCAATCGCGGCATTATTGTGATCATCCCTCGTTGCCGTGCAGAAATCATTATTGTATTCCGCGGTTCTGTAGACATCGTAATCGTTTCCCGCAGTTGTGAAGACATCGTTATCGTCTCCCGCGATTGCGGTAAAATGTTAATAAGTCCTCCAGTCGTGTGGAGATCATCATCGTCTTCTACGATCGCGGAAAATTCTGATCATCCCTCGCGGCCGTGTGTAGACATATTTATTGTCTCCCGCGGTCACGGAAACGTCACTGTTGTCATGCGCGATCACGGTAAATTGAAAACTCCAGGTAGAAATACAAAATTCATGGTTCAAAAATCTCCCTCATGATTCCCGGATTTCCCGGTCGGCGAAAACCCTGTTATATATATATTACAAAGGGGCGCTACTATTAGACGTGCCTAGGGCGCTGACAGGGTCAAAAACGGGCCTGCATGGTATCTATAGTTTTTTTAATTTTCAAGGTAATTTTTTATAAAAAAACCCAAAATAATAGAACATCTGATTTTGGCTTTGTCCTTTCGACCCCAAACATGATGATACAAACCCCATCGGTTGTAAAATTAAGGGTTATGTATAAGTTATTACAACTTTTGTGATTTTCCCCATAAAATATCATAGTTGATCCCATCACTTACTCATGATAAAGGTTGTTGACAAGCTAATAGGAGAGTGCATGTGTCAGATTGCTGATACCATTTATTATTTTATGTATCTAACTAACAACTGGGCCCAGCTGTCCTTCACCATCAGGTTTAATTGTAATTTTTAGCTTAACACTGTATTAAAAGTATTGTTAACACCTCTGTCCCTAGATCTCCACTGCTCAGTCCCTCCCAGAGATACACGGTTGCCTTGATGGTGAGAGGTACCTCCAGCCTGGCAGTGGACTGGGTGTACGACCACATCTACTGGACCAGCAACACTCCGGCGGGCGGCTGTGTGGAGGTGTGTCGTCTGGACGGCTCATCCAGGACCATAATTGTAGCCAGGGACATCAACAACCTGCTCATGTCTGTAGCCGTACATCCTGCCGAGGGGTGAGTCGACAAGAACTATTTACACTTACATTGAGATTTTTGCCAGACATATAGGCTACGCAAGTCTTAGACAATCTTTGTAAAACAATACAGGATTGGTTAGATCGACTTAGCATTATTCCGCATATTTAGGGTAGGGAAACATCCCCGCCAATCATATATTTTTTGTTGAAATCCATCAGATCCTTACCTCCATTAAGAATTGAGTGGTGTGAAATATTTTTAGACTAGTTGAACAAAGTACAGTAGTTGCAGCTAGTCTGGGCGCACGGCCGCGCTAGGGCGGGGGGTGTAGTGGTGTAGAGGGGAGTGTTTATTGCTCATTTCCAAAAACATCTGGCCTACACGGCTCTCTGGGGTTGTTCAGCGAGGCTGTGGTGGTGAGCGAGACGTTACTCTCAGCACGGCTAGTACACAAGGGTCCGCGCGCCCAGACTAACTGCGACTACTGTATACAAGGGGACAGACGAAACAGCTCAAGTTCACATCAATTGAGTATTGTCGTGTTGAAGTACTCTTGTAAATACTACAACTGTCAGTAAATTGCTGTGCTAGATGACGGGCTAACAGGTAACAGCTCAGTCTATATTAATACCATAGTACTTCTCTCAGCTGCCAAATTTCCTTCTACGTTAATTATAGTTTAATCAAATTGAAATAGGCACAACCTAAATGCATAAACAACGTAAGTTGAAAACCGTAGTTACTGACCAAACTGTTTTACAGAAAAATGTATCTTGCAAACTGGACGGAGGGGAGTGTGGAGGTGTTGGGTATGGACGGAACACGACTACAGAGACTAGTGAGTGGACTAAAGCAACCGAGGAGTCTCACAATAGACCTCTATGGTAATGAGCGACAACTTTACTGGCTGGAGTCTGTAGATTACAAGGGTCAAAGGTCCACCACCATAATCAAGGCCTGTTACCTGGAGAACGGGTGAGTGTACTACATTGGTCTGCTTCATCCATTGCAAACCTCAAAATCAAACACACTGTGTCAGTCACATTTAGCTTACACAACCACAGAACACAGATAGCTGAATAAGATGTTAATATGCACAACAGCTTTGTTGATAAGGAATTAACATTGTTTAAATTAGTTGAAAAATAAAAGAATTAATTGACAATTACTAAGCTATTGTGTAGACCTATGCTTTAAAGTAAATTATTAGTTTTTACATTCTCATAAAAATGTTACAAATGACAAAATTACCATACTCTGTTCACAAAATTTAGGCGGTTTTAGGAGAAGAAATCCATTTCCTCCAAATCTAGCTTTAAAACAAAAGCTGAGGTTTGCTAAAACGTCAATCAGCTGCAACATATACTTTAAGCAATAAATAGGGGGGAAACTTCCTCTAAAACCACCTAAACTTGTGAACGGACTAAAAGTATACTTTATTCTTGTGGTCAGCATGCCTATTCGATACTGTACAAATTGAGGAAATGAGGAACTTGGGTAGAAACCTAATTGGAACTAAGACATCTTTCACATTCCCTGTCTATTTTACTTTTCCAAAGAAAAGTCGCCTTAGCTAAAAAAAGACAACAAAAAACAATAGGCAGCAGTATGGAAAGAGTATAGATAATACAATACTTACTTACTGCCGTGGCTCTTGGTACCCAAGGAGGTACTTTGCCTCGCCAACACACTGCCTCCAGACTGCACGATCCACTGCTTCATCCTCCCTTCTTCCCATTCTTCTCAGGTCTCTTCTCACTTGATCTCTCCACCTCAACTTGGGCCTTCCAGGAGGTCTTCTACCCTCGGGATTGTTGTTTAGGGCGTTTCTCACTAAGGATCCCTCTTCCTTTCTTAACACATGGCCTGCCCATCTCAATCTCCTACTTCTCACCTCAGCCACAATATCTGGGTCCCTGTACAACTCTCTCAATATCTCTCTGTTGTGCTTAACTCTCCATTCTCCGTTTTTAACGGTTGGTCCAAAGATTTTCCTTAGAATCTTGTTTTCGAACACTATAAGTAGTTTCTCAGTTCTCTTGCTTATCACCCAATTCTCTGAGCCATATAGTAATACTGGTCTTATTATAGTTTTGTATATACGGATTTTAGTTTTCTGTGAGAGTAGGCGAGAACTCAACAATTTGTGGCATTCCGATAAACTTTTATGAGCTGCATTTAGATAATACAATAAGCAAACTAATATAAGTGAAGCCTCTTTGGCAAATGTTGATATATTTTGTTGACTGTTAAAGAAAGACTTATGATTTCAATCTTAAAATTCAAGTCTGTTGAGATCTGCTTGTCTGCAGTGAGTCGTGCAGAGTTGTATACAAGAGTCCTCCTGGAAATCGGCCTTCCTCACTGACAGTTCTAGCCAATAATGTGTACTGGTTGGATGGATACAAAATCAACTACATCGGGCCCAACCAGAAAACTAGACCTCGGAAGATAGAATTGAGCAACAAACAGTTGGTAAGTAGAACTATCTATGGTGGCTAAGCCTTTTTAATGAACAAACCGTTAGGAAGGTAGCTATGGAATGTAGATAAATAACTTTCTGGACAGAGACACGCCAGACATGATCAAGACATTCAAAATCTGAATCTAAAGTTATTTCTATGGGCCTTGGAGACATAACCCTAGACCAGGAATTGATAAAATTGAATGGTCTACTTCCCACTAACAGCTTTGGTATTTTATTACAAGGCTGCAGGAAATGTCAGGTATAGCTTACACCCATTCAAGTTGAGTTATTCATGTATGGTAAGATGAGGTATACATACTTATTTACTGAATGGCCAATGTATACCATTGGGGTGAAAAGGGTTGCAGACTGTAAATTACACTGTTACTTAGTAACTGTAACAATCACATGATGTTGTAGGACTCTCAGTGTCTCAAGGTGGTACACTCCTACACACAGCCTCTCATCACCAACAACTGTGTGTTCACATCATGTAAAGGACTGTGTGTACCACTGCCTCGGGACCTGGGACAGACTGATGTACGCTGTGTGCTACTAGCTGCTAGTAACATTGACATGATGTTGTAGGACTCTCAGTGTCTCAAGGTGGTACACTCCTACACACAGCCTCTCACCACCAACAACTGTGTGTTCTCATCATGTCAAGGACTGTGTGTACCACTACCTCGGGACCTGGGACAGACTGATGTACGCTGTGTGCTACTAGCTGCTAATAACATTGACATGATGTTGTAGGACTCTCAGTGTCTCAAGGTGGTACACTCCTACACACAGCCTCTCACCACCAACAACTGTGTGTTCTCATCATGTCAAGGACTGTGTGTACCACTACCTCGGGACCTGGGACAGACTGATGTACGCTGTGTGCTACTAGCTGCTAGTAACATTGACATGATGTTGTAGGACTCTCAGTGTCTCAAGGTGGTACACTCCTACATACAGCCTCTCACCACCAACAACTGTGTGTTCTCATCATGTCAAGGACTGTGTGTACCACTGCCTCGGGACCTGGGACAGACTGATGTACGCTGTGTGCTACTAGCTGCTAATAACATTGACATGATGTTGTAGGACTCTCAGTGTCTCAAGGTGGTACACTCCTACATACAGCCTCTCACCACCAACAACTGTGTGTTCTCATCATGTCAAGGACTGTGTGTACCACTACCTCGGGACCTGGGACAGACTGATGTACGCTGTGTGCTACTAGCTGCTAGTAACATTGACATGATGTTGTAGGACTCTCAGTGTCTCAAGGTGGTACACTCCTACATACAGCCTCTCACCACCAACAACTGTGTGTTCTCATCATGTCAGGGACTGTGTGTACCACTGCCTCGGGACCTGGGACAGACTGATGTACGCTGTGTGCTACTAGCTGCTAATAACATTGACATGATGTTGTAGGACTCTCAGTGTCTCAAGGTGGTACACTCCTACACACAGCCTCTCATCACCAACAACTGTGTGTTCTCATCATGTCAGGGACTGTGTGTACCACTGCCTCGGGACCTGGGACAGACTGATGTACGCTGTGTGCTACAAGCTGCTAATAACATTGACTTGATGTTGTAGGACTCTCAGTGTCTCAAGGTGGTACACTCCTACACACAGCCTCTCACCACCAACAACTGTGTGTTCTCATCATGTCAAGGACTGTGTGTACCACTACCTCGGGACCTGGGATAGACTGATGTACGCTGTGTGCTACTAGCTGCTAATAACATTGACATGATGTTGTAGGACTCTCAGTGTCTCAAGGTGGTACACTCCTACATACAGCCTCTCACCACCAACAACTGTGTGTTCTCATCATGTCAAGGACTGTGTGTACCACTGCCTCGGGACCTGGGACAGACTGATGTACGCTGTGTGCTACAAGCTGCTAATAACATTGACTTGATGTTGTAGGACTCTCAGTGTCTCAAGGTGGTACACTCCTACATACAGCCTCTCACCACCAACAACTGTGTGTTCTCATCATGTCAAGGACTGTGTGTACCACTGCCTCGGGACCTGGGACAGACTGATGTATGCTGTATGCTACTAGCTGCTAATAACATTGACATGATGTTGTAGGACTCTCAGTGTCTCAAGGTGGTACACTCCTACATACAGCCTATCATCACCAACAACTGTGTGTTCTCATCATGTCAAGGACTGTGTGTACCACTGCCTCGGGACCTGGGACAGACTGATGTACGCTGTGTGCTACTAGCTGCTAATAACATTGACATGATGTTGTAGGACTCTCAGTGTCTCAAGGTGGTACACTCCTACATACAGCCTATCACCACCAACAACTGTGTGTTCTCATCACGTCAAGGACGGTGTGTACCACTACCTCGGGACCTGGGACAGACTGATGTACGCTGTGTGCTACTAGCTGCTAATAACATTGACATAATGTTGTAGGACTCTCAGTGTCTCAAGGTGGTACACTCCTACATACAGCCTCTCACCACCAACAACTGTGTGTTCTCATCATGTCAAGGACTGTGTGTACCACTGCCTCGGGACCTGGGACAGACTGATGTACGCTGTGTGCTACTAGCTGCTAATAACATTGACATAATGTTGTAGGACTCTCAGTGTCTCAAGGTGGTACACTCCTACATACAGCCTCTCACCACTAACAACTGTGTGTTCTCATCATGTCAAGGACTGTGTGTACCACTGCCTCGGGACTTGGGACAGACTGATGTACGCTGTGTGCTCCGGAAGTCCAAATACAAGCCACCTCGCCACTTCGCTTCCATCGGTTTGTAACTTAGGAACAGTTTATGTTGTTTACAAATCAACCGGTAAAGAATCATTTTCTAGGATAAGGTTTTATCAAAGTTGATAACGATTTAACTTAAAATAGTTGGATGATCTAGAAAAACCTTAAGAGTAACAAAATTTAATATTTTAGACTCAAGCTCCTCAAGATTTTATCTGCTACACTACCTTTAATCAAAATTTAAGTCAGAGAAATACTTGATGCTCTCGAGCAAGATAAAATTTCTCGGCTTTTCCAGAGCAATACTTAAGAACAGTAAAACGTCGCTAAAGAAAGATGGATACATTTTCTGTATTACCATTAAGTTATTCTAAAAACCAACATTTAAAATTATTTTTGACAATTTAAATGGGATTTATATTAGTAAAAATGTTCAGGAAGAACTTAAAATACTATTTTCTTTATTGCTCTTAGCAGTAATATGCTTAAATCTTGCTAGATTTCTTCTCCTACTTAGCAAAATATGCTTTGAAAATCTAAATCTACATTCTACATCATGCAAGATGTTGAAGGGAATGTAGTGGAACTGATTCTTTTTTGCTGATGTTTTGAAAGTTTAACTTGATATTGAGTTTTTAGTTTTAACAGCTAAGGCTTGAATATTAGAATGAAGGTACAAAATATACTTAAGTAATAGGATAAAACAAGACAGATCTTAAAGGTTGTGTCGAGGTTCTAATAGATTGGACCGAATTACTCAATAATATTCTGTGTTCTATGACATTATAGTGAGAATTTAACATTTTCAATTAAAATGTCAATTTAAATATATATGTTTTGTATATCTATATGAATGCTATTAACTGTTACTGCTATTACAAGCAATATTTTTTTAGAATTTATAATATCACAGGCCCCTAATTATTTTATAGTTTTTCTATGTTCATAGAGTGAATAATCACAAAAAAAAAAAAAAAAAAAAAAAAAAAACAATAGGCCTACTTAAATTTTAGAATAAACATGACCAAGTATTGAAAATACTTCTAAATTGATAAATACATTCAATGATAAGGGTACAATGATATACCTACTAATTTATTTACTTATGGGTTTTTAGTTTTTGAAAATTAGGTGCCTCAGATTGCTACTTAACCAGTTTACACTAAGGAGATATTTACATATAGAAATCAAGCAATTTACAAGTCAATTTAATTGAATTATGACAATATACTATATATTAAGCATATGTAAATAGGCTAAGTTAAATATTTGGTAACTGGTTCCAATTGCTATTTTACTTTTGAGGGAAAGATACATTTTGAATCTATCTGTTAATTGATTTTAATGGGTCCAACTAACAATATACAGAAAAATCTCATAGACCCGAAAATTCAAATTCTGAAACCAATGCCAAACCAAAATCCCAAGTGAACACGACACTTGAGTTTCCAATAGTACTACGTGTTTTTGTTTGTAATGTTCCTACACTTCCTAATTGTATTCAAGTAACATTTCCATAATTTTATCTCTGTTTTGTTAACTGTCCCCTGTTGATGCATTTGACGTTAAACTAAAACAAAACACGTGCTCTTGTAAAACTTCTAAAAATGTACAGTGTTTTTTAATACTTTTTTCTCCACTGTTAATTTTTTATCTGTTCAAATTTCCTGTCTTCCCGAAACGGGGGGTGAAATTAACATGCTTTGTCAGAGGCTTCGGCTCTACTAGCCTTTTACAAAAGATGGCTCATGCTGCAGATGAATCACCAATGTGTTGTTTTAGTAGTCGTGAGTTTACGATGTTTTCATAATGACCCCGCGCTACCCTCCCGTCCTCAACACCTTCCCCCAAGGCCATATCCCCAAAATGCAGTGTGATGAAGACTCTTCATGCATGCCTTCAAGGTCTGAAGGTCACTAGATCAATTCCAAGCAAGAAAATTAAATACTGGACTCAGATGCCATTTTAATTAATAACGCTATCTAACATTAGGTCGATGTCAGATAGTAATAAGACCAAGGTTTGGACCCTGGTTAATAATTATACCTACCAATTAACCTACCTTGAATTTGATTTATTTATGTTAATGTAGAAATCAATGTTTGTCAGAATTTTATATATTATGTTATGCGTTTTCATGTCTGTAATTTTTAATCGAGTTACACAGTTTACCACAAACCCATGGTACAGAACAGACTATAAGCAATGGTTTATTCTCTAAATAATTTTAAATGTTAAAATTTAATAGACTATGTTACTAATTAGGTATGTGGAAACACATAACACCTCTGGTGTTTAAGCATATACATTTATTGATGTTGTGACTGAAATGTTTAAAATAAACAATGTTGACTGAAATGAATATTTTTTTGCCCACTGATACTGGAGACATTAGCGTTTTTGATTCTGTTACGAGAAAAGTTAAACAAAGAGTGTCACTCGCTATGTAACATGAAATAGGACAAAATTTACTTATAGCTTTTGTACTTGGGTAGGTTAGTGTAATTATTGGAAGTTTAACAAAACCCGATAAATTATCAGCCTTGTGGATGTGGAGCAGTCGATGGATAACCTGCATTACACAAGTGAGGTAGGAATTAGCTTGTCACCTATAATTTGGTTGTGCTAATTTCTCACAGATTTATTTTAAAAATATCTTTTACATCCATTTTTAATTTTAGATGTATAATTTTTTTTATGGGTTTAAGCCGTGTTGTTGACTTAACAAGATATATAGGTAGAGGGTGTGCAATGAGTATGTCAAACAACCAGCAGGTTCAATCAATAATCAGCCCATCTTCAGTAAATATATTTTAATAAACTTTTTAAATAATTGAAACTGACTTCATCGTTTCAAGAATACATGTGGTAAGAGGAAAAAGAATCTCCGCCCACCTCGTTCTATAGTCCTGATGCCATTGCAGTCTAGGCGTTTCTATGAATCTTCCGACCTACAAAAACATAAAGAAGTACTGAAAACCAATAATAAAACAAACATTAAGAATAAGAATCTGTATTACCCTTTAAACATTTTACAGTGCAATAGGGTTGTCATTTGCTACATAATAAATTGCTACATAATATTAAAATGTAATTAAATATTTCACATAAAATAGTAACAAAGATAATTTAATAAAATAAGTTAAGACAAGCTGGCCTGGATCTAATCTAAAATTTAGTCTACTAATGGCAGATACATGGTGAAACATAAGGCAACAAATATGGGCAAAATTCAAGGAAAAAATAGAATGAGTATATAGAAACAATACTAACATGGCAGTATGATAAAGATTTTGAAACAAATTAACAAAGGTAAATGAATATGACTATTTCAAACTGGTTAACATCAGAAACAAGTTTACTTAAATAAATATGACTAGATTGGCACATAAACTTAAACAAGTTTGGGTCATTAGACAT